AAGAAGGATGGGAGGTGGGCAGGGCCCCTTTAAAAGGGAACATAGTGAATATGCACAGGTGGTGCTCTTAGTGGCTGCAGCTGAGGGCTCATCCTGTCAGAAGCCCTGTACAGTCTAGGCCAGTATAGGTGCCTGAATACCAACAATAGGGTCTTCATGCTCTAGCCAGGGCTCAAGTAATCCTCCTGCCTCAGCTTCTCCAGTGCTGGGACTATAAGCACACATCACTGAACCTGAATAATGAACATTTCTGATAAACCTTTGGCCACCATTCATTCTGTGGACTATCTATAAATGACCAGGGAATGCATAAGCTACAGAAGGAACCTCTGTACAATATCTCTATAAAACCCAACCGCCTCCAGAGCCATGTGCACTGACGGTAAGGGCTTGTGACATATTTTGGGGTCATCAAGGTGGACTACACATCTGCCAATTATAACCTCACTTACCTTACAAAAAATTCTTGGAATTCAACCCAACTTTCCAGGCATGTGGAGTATTATCCTTTATCTGATGATCTGACTGATAAATCTGCAGCCTGTGACCCAAATAGTTCAGCTTCCCTCCAGGAGCCTCGTCAAGAAGGGGAGTAACCACGCTCACTCAGAGCTGTTTCATAACCATTGTCCCTACACGGACCAGCTCATTTCTGTCTGCAGGATCTGTCATACCACTCATGGGTGCAGGGCTACATACAGTCCCGCCTTCTGCCTTCCTAATTGGCGCCTCTGCAAGGTCCTGGCTATCTGGATCAGGGGACTGAGACAGATGTTTGACAGAGATGAGACACTCTCACCTAGTACTCTGTATGAACAGCGAACCCCTAGCTGAGCCCCAACCTAACTCTTCACCTCCATATAAGCCAACTCTGTACCAACACCCTGTGGATGGAGTGAATTCATCCAGAGTCCAAGAGTCTTAGAGCACACTTAGCTCAGGATACTGACCACAGCGCCCCAACCTAACTCTTCACCTCCATATAAGCCAACTCTGTACCAACACCTTGTGGATGGAGTGAATTCATTCAGAGTCCAAGAGTCTTAGAGCACACTTAGCTCAGGATACTGACCACAGTGTTGCCTGAACCCACAGTGAAGACTCACATTTCCCCTGGAAGGGAATGACCACCCCTCTTAGTTAGGTGGGAAGCATGTGGGCTGTGGAGGCCATGTTGGCAGTGGACTTAGCCACAGCCAGGTGCCTCTGAAAAGTCACAGGTGTGTGTTGAGGGAAAGGGTTGATCTGGGGCTGGGGACTTTGCTGCCATCTGCTTAGGTTCTAGCCTCCTTGACCACTTGCTTCCCCATGGCCACAAGCCAGTTCCTTAATGTTTCCATATGCAATTGTGGAGAATGCCCTGCTCACCAGCAAAAGGAGAAGGAGATGAAGGTGAGAACAGAAAGCCCTTGATGCAGACATACCCAAAAGCTGTAGTGCTCTTAGGTAGCTGTGACAAACATTTCTTCATGACCTGGCCAAGTGTCAGCAGGCTGCTTGTATGCTTTAGCTTAGAAGAGACCGCTGGGTCAAGGCCAGATCAGAAGGGTCAGTGCTAGACAACAGTCCAGAGTGATAGCTCAATCCTTTCTTCCACCCACCTCCCAAGCAAATATATCTCAAGATTTCAGAGGTCTCTCATACAGCAGAAGTCTTGTATGTACAGAGAGATTTGGGCTACCAGGTACACTGAACTGGCTAGTTTTATGACAACTTGACACAAGCTCAAGCAATTTGTGGAGATGGACCCTCAATGAGAAAACGCTATCACCAGACTGGCCTCTGGGTAAGTCCATGGTGTGTTTCTAAATTAATGATCGATGTGGGAGGGCCCAATCCATTTTGAGTGAGGCTACCCTTGGGCAGGCGGTTCTGGGGTATATATAAAAAAAAAAATCAGGCTGAGCAACGCATGAAGATCTTGCCAGTAAGCAGTACTCCTTCATGGTCTCTGCTTCAGTTCCTTGACTCGAGTTTCTGTCCTGACTTCCTTTAGAGATATGCTGTGATGTTTAACTGTAAGCTGAAATAAAGCCTTTCTCTTCCAACTGCTTTTGGTCACAGTGTTTCATCACAGCAATGGTAACCTTAACTAAGACACCAGGAGGCCCCTCTGCTTTCAGATGACACTGACAGGGCCTACACAGCCTGGGAGATACAAAAGTATGTTCTGTAGCATAAGTGAGGCTGCTGAAGGGCCATACTCATGAGACCCTCAGAGTCACAGCGCTACCCTAGAACATTTGCTCACAGGCAGTGCCCAGGCACCAGAAAGAGTCACGGAACATAGCCTTTCTGCCAAGTCTGTGTCTCTTCTTACTTGGGGGTATGCATTCACAGCGATGTGGGTTCAAAGCTATGGTTCTTCTGCTACAGGTGTCAGGCTGAAACCTCCTCCTCCCATTACACTTCAGGGACACCATACCCACCACAGTACCCAGTAACTCTAACCCTACTCCCCAAACCCACATCATCCACTGAGATGCCAGGGAACCATGAAGGAAGCCAGACAGGGCGTGAAAAGCAACTGGATGTCAACGCTGTGTTCTCTCTGCGTCTCAACCCTAGACCCTGTAAACATGGCCTTTCAGACAAAAAAGTCTATGCAGATGAAATCGTGGATTTTTAAATGAGGACATCATGGATTATCCACTGGCATTGTTCTCAACTGAGACACACACAGATGAGGGACAGAGGAAAGCTGGTCATTTGACCAGTCAGGTAGCACAATCTCCCATGGAGCCTCTGGAGGGATCCCCCCTGCACACACTGTGACACCCCCTCACACACACTATGACACCCCCTCGCACACACTACAACCTCTCCCCTTGCACGCAGCACTATGACCTTGGACTTGTAGTTCCTAGAATGAGACAGAAAGACCTTGTGCTGCATCAGGGCACCTGGGATTTGTGATCCCATCAGCAGCCCCAAGACACTGCTGTTTCTGGTCTGTGGGAGTCACTGGTACTCAGGAGCAGGCTGCCCAGAAGCTCAAGAGGCCCTGAACCGCTCTGTGATACAAGAAACGCATGTCTACAAGACAGACCTCGGTGGGACAAGTATCTCTGCCCTTGACAGTACTGGAGGACATACATGTAGGTGCTGATAAATAAAACCTGCAAAAGCTCACCCTATGGGGGAATTACAATGACAAAAACAGAGCACAGCCAGGGCAGGTTGTATGTCAGTATACAGCCTGAAGGGACCTGTCACTGGGGTGGCTTACTCACTCCCAGGGTCTCACCCATCCCCAGGGGCTCATCCACTCAAGTGCTCACTCACTTCCCCAGATTGGGATGTCTCTGCTTTCCGCCTTCATTACAATGGAGGACATGGTCATGGTGACAGGGATGGCATCAAAGTAGGAGGAATGTGGTGCCAGTGTGAGGATAGCAGCCTCAGCAGGCAGGGCCTGCCGTCCCTTCACAGCCACTCGGTGGAAGCCGCCAGCAAACCACATGGTACGCATGATGGCCTTGAGCAGGAAATCCACAACCCTGTAAGAGATAGGCAACATCAGGTTCCTGCTCTACACAGGCATGCAGGGGGCATGGGGAAAATGAGCTGAGGCCTTGGCAGTAGGGCAGGGTTGAAGGCTACTGCAGCAACTGCCCTGAGAGGAGAGCTGGTGTGCTTGATTCTGGGACACCCGTAGCCAATGTTCTTCCACCTCATCTGACAGACAACCGAAGGGCTTTTCCCACCACACAGCATCCTTCAAGTGAACACAACTACTCAGCACTAACAGCGGCTCACACACCAAGGTCAAAGACACCCACACTTGAGATGTCAGCAGCTCATGTTAGCACTCAGTTGTGGATGAGCTATCAAAGCACGCAGGACACGTGCACGCTAATCAGCCGAGAGCAAGGGTGGTCCCCTGTCTGGTGAGTCTTCTAGACCTCCTTCTCATAGGCCACCCTGCCTTGGCGGCCGACCACGTGAATTAGTACAGCTATTGGAAGGACCTAGATGGACACAGATGTAGGTGAAAGAAAACTGGCCTAGGCCATCCATCTTGGTTTTCTATGATGTCCTTTTTTTTAAACATATAAGATCTCAGGCACTCAAACCTGGTATTTTCCTTTCTATTCACCCTCAACAAACCTCAGTCACCACTCAGACACCTCTCAGGATACCCCTGTAGTGACATGTAGTATGGGCAGCCCTGGGTGGAGCTTGGTCTCCAGAGGAGGCTTGCTGCAGAATGCACCAGGTGACCAAAAGACACAGGAAGAAAAAAAAAAAAAAATGAGCTCAAAACCCTGTTCTTTGATTTTTCCCAAAGCGCTAACTTCCCCTGGAGGTTCTGTGAGAGGAGCCCCAGCAGATCTAAGTAGTGGCCAATCGCTGTTGGGTACAGAGCCCCTCGAGGAGTCACCTTGGAAAGACCTCTGCTTACTTGGAGGATCAGCAGCTGCTGTAGTTACAATGAGACACTGGGGAGCAGGCAGATTCAAGGTTCTATTTCTAAGGATGCTGTGACACAGGGGTGTGCACTTCTCAATGTCAGCTGGACACATCTAGATGGACTCACAACAAAAATGGACAAAAGTAAAATGCACAGCACCTGAGGAGGAGGAAGAGGATGAGGATGAGGGGTAAGTGAGGCTGTGAGGAGATTGGACTGGAACAGGCACCAGTTCTAGAAGGGCAAGAGGAAGAGGGGAGATGGAAAGTAAGTACCATCAACCCCCAGTCTTGTTGACAGCAATACCCTTCTCAGGGAAAGATGAGACAGCAGGAGGCGGAGTGAGTATGGGGAGGGGGTGGGAAAAGAGCTGAGCCAAATGGATGGCTCTTCCCCGTAAGCTTACCCATAGGGCTGGGTGCACCAGGCTGATGGTGTGAATGGAGACAGACCTTGTGGGCTCAGTGAAGGTGAAGACCCTCATGCGGCTGGTACTGTCACAGGGGCAAGGAGGACAGTGAGCTCTGGACAAGGCCGGCGGTCAAGTAAAGGCCTGGAAAGAAAGCTACAGGAACGTGAAGAAGAAGAGGGATGGAACATGAGCTCAACAGCTGCTCAGTGCTGAAGAAGACCTGGGGCTTTGGGCACAGGATGAAGAGAGGACTCCAAAGAGACGCAGTTTGCCTCCACACACAGGCGCATGAGCCCAAGACTGTAGACCTGAACCGTCTGGGAGGACACTACCTATTCAGCCAGCGAGAGAGCTGGGCAAGGGAGAGCAAGCTGGTTGTCAGTAGTTCATCAAGTCTGAGTTCCTCTTGCAAATTCTTTCTGGGAAGAGAACCTGACATTCCAGAAAGTCTTCAACAACAACAACAAAACAAAAGAGCAGACACTACATGACCTGGATACCACAGGAGGCAAGTACAACTCCACAGTGTGGCCTGCCTATGGGGCTTGGAGAACTGATGCTGAATTCGGGGTGGGGGGGGTGGCGCTTTGGCACTCTTTCTGTCACAAAAAAGAAACAGAGACATTCAGACGGCAAGACAGAAAAAAACAAAACAAAACAAAACAAAACAGGTGGCGCTTTGGCACTCTTTCTGTCACAAAAAAGAAACAGAGACATTCAAACGGCAAGACAGAAAAAACAAAACAAAACAAAACAAAAAACCAAAGGCTACAGTCCAAAAGCAAAGCAGAGAATGTGTGTAATTTAAAGACTTTAAATTATGGGTTGAGGCTGTGCTTCTTCAGACAGAGGAAGTCATATTTATACCCAGGATGTGGACTCCTCTCTGAGGGTAGGGGGTTAGATATTCATTCCTTCAGTCTCACAGTTAACACATTAACCTATTAACCCAGGACTGAGTCTCAAGGAGCCCTCAGGAACATGCCCTTCTCCAGTTGCCTGTGGCTGAGAGACCAGCAGCTGGAGGACCTTGACTGCTAGCTGCCTGGCCCACCCCTCGACTTGCTCTGGTGGGTAAGAACTAGTGTAGGGGTAAGTACTACCAAAAGGCAGCAGTATGATTTTCAAGACACTGTACTTTGAAAGTGACTTAAAATAAGCATTCTTTGTAAAACTGTGTCATTCACCGAAAGCCTGAGATTTTTAAGGATGTCTGAATGCCACTAACTTCATCCAGGAAAAAAAAAAAAAAGGTCGTCTTTAACATCAATCTGTTCACAACAGCTTTGCTGTGTGAACGTAACAGTCTGAGTCTGAATGAATCTGCTGTTGTAACTCAGCAGAACTTCAATGGCTCTGTAGCCAGTTATTTTAAACCCAGCTTTTTCCTAATTCTGTGCCACTATGTCTCCTTTCAGGGGGTCAGAAGCATCCTCGAGAGCCTAGGGCCACAAATCCACTCAGTTCCCACAGACACTGAATGAAGGTGTCCAGGGCTTCACCAGGCATAGCAAGCTCCATGCAGGTTCAGCATACATGTATACACTACTGTACATATGACGCTTTCAACATACATGCACACGCTCATCTACATACACTCCAACCTACAAATACAACCATACAATCTCGTCTGTGTACACACACAGGTGCACATGTACACTCCTACACATATACTCACCAACATGCACTTACATGCACACGCCAACACGTGTACGCACCCTACGCACATGAACATTTCAACTTATGCACACCTGCATGCTCTTATCTACATGAACAGGTATATAGTACGACGGGCACATTCATATGTTCACACTTCAACGCTTACCTATACACACATACTCCAGCACCTACATGCGTACTCTCATCTTCATTCAAAAATGTATATTCCAACAGGTACACACACACTTTTACCTGTGGACACTCATACATGCACATACGTCAACAAATACAATAAACATACTCCAGTACCTACACACATATCCATACTCTCACCTAAATGCACTCTCTCTCTCTCTCTCTCTCTCTCTCTCTCTCTCACACACACACACACACACACACACACGCACACGTGCACACATGTGTGTGCATTCATACATGTACACGCTTCACATACACACACTCATATACATGCATGCACATACACCACTATAAACAATATATGTCCAGGCATAAGCACATTCCTCTCTCTCACACAGAATGACATGTACCCTGAGCTGACAAAGACATACCAAGCTCGAGGGAAACTGTGGCCATAAGAAATCTCAGCCTCCCACTCACTCACATGAAACAGTATTAGCACTGCATTTGTGCAGTGAAAGAAGGTGTGTGAACAGACTGAGTGACTTGGACACACAGAGACAGAGCTGTTGCAAACAGTCTTCTGTAGCCCTCTGTAGCTTGCTGAAGCCCATGGAGTGTGTACGCACATAAGAGAGTCCCAGGGGAGTGTGGAGGCTGGGAACACAACCCGAGTCACCCACTTTGAAGATGGTCCTGTTGCTCAGAGACTCTGAACTGGTGTGGGGAAGAATCGGGTCCTTGTGATGCCGGGGAGGCGGCATGTAAAGCAACAGCAAAGCTTTAAATCCGCCCAAGTCTGCTTCCCTGCGGAACTCCTGCACTTAGCCAAGCTCAAAGTTGGGATCTCGTTTGGCCTAGATTTGAAGTGCTTGGTTTTATTTCATACCAGTTTCATATGTTACGTTTTTATTATTTTTAAACCCTTTTAAAGGATGTCACAATAAAGCATGCTGTTCTAAGAGGATTAGGAAATCGCAGACAAATGAAGAACTGAGAGCAAGCAACAACCTCATGGACAGCCAGCCTCGCTCAACGCCCACACTGGGTGACGAACAGCATCTGATGGTGATCGACACCCAGAGAGATGAAATTTAGAAGATGAGCTTCCCCTCTTGCCTCTGTCCTGAACAAACATCCTGTGCATCACAATAAAAGAAAGGCTGGGAGGGTCCCGGTGAACACAGCCCGCAGAGCACCAGATAGTGACATTTTAGGCTTTGGAGCCACAGAGTCCCCTGCTCCCTGTGAAAGTCCCAGGGATGGCCATGTTCTAGGAAAAGGTTACTTGCACAGTAGCTAATCTGGCCTGTAGGCCTTTTTGCCACCATCTCCAGCAAGGATTTGTTTGTCTTTCTGAGCTGGCAAAGGGAGCTCTAGAGACAACAGCAGGGCATTCTTAGAGCACTGGCTAAGGTACCTGTGACAGGTGGAAAGACACAAGAAACACTCAGAAGTGTCTACAGCACTGGCTGTGTTCCCAACATATGCATCTCCAAACAGCTGAGGCTTATTCATATCTAATACTTCAAGGCAAGGGCTAGTTTGGGTCAAAGAGAGACTCAGCCTGCAGAGTGACAGTGTTCAACACTCAGGAAGCCTGGACGGGCTCAAGGTCCCCAGTAGGACAGCACTGTCTGGATCCAGCTAGTGAGAGCTTCAGCTTTTGTCAAGTCTGGTCAGAAAGTGGTATCAGATCACTAGACTTAAAAGAGAGCAGGCTTGTCGACTTTCAGTGATCCCAGGTGGGCAAGGTGTGTCAACTGTGACCTGCCACTCAAAAGGTAGAAGATATGTTCCCTTCCCTGATCACGGCACCCATTCTGTGGCGGTTGAGGCAGGGACCCGTGTCACTGTGGTGCTGGACCAACTCAGCCCAAGAGCTGTCCACTCAGAATACATTCCCCAACTCCCACCAGCAGACCCGGAGCTGGATGAGGGTGGCCTGGGAGCTCTGGTTTTAGTCTTCAGGCCATCAAGAGACAGAAGAGGTTCTGGAACACAGGAGGCCATGGTGGTGAAGGAAACTTTACACTCTGGGACATGGGTACAGCAGCTCTATGACCCATAGTGCCCTGAAGATGAAGCCTACAAAGACCAGAGGAAGAGACAGGTAGGGACAAGCTAGTTTCAAAGGAAGCATGACTGGTCCCTGGTGAACAGGTTCCAGTAATAAAGCAGGCTTAGAAAGGGAGAGACAGGTCCATACTGACTGAGCAGTTTAACATTGTGACCTCTCTCTCTCTCTCTCTCTCTCTCTCTCTCTCTCTCTCTCACACACACACACACACACACACACTCACACACCGTTAGCCAAAAGAGCTACTTACTTCCTCCACAAGGCCATGGGCTGCTCTGGCTCCTTATCAGGCGGTCCCAGGGAGGCCACAAGCGCAAAGGGCCAGGCCAGCAGCATCATGAAAGCAGCGAACAGGAGCCGGATGGGAAACAGCGTCAACGTCATGAAAGCCACCTGGGAAGACAGGTGTTACTTTTTAAGCACTCCTGTTTGAGAACTGTTGGAGCTGCCTGCAGCCTGGGGTTCTGCAGAGCCAGGTCCCAGGTAGCCAGGACACTGCCATCACAGTTGCCCCCATCCTCCCACTCCTGACTAAAGACACTCAGGGGATATCTTGGGAACAACATGGCAGAGCTTGATTGGCACACTCATGATGGGGGATGTTATCTGTATATATGTTTCTCTTATTGATTGATGAATAAAACACTGATTGGCCAGTACAGGCAGGAAGATAGGCGGGGCTAGGAGATGAGGAGGATGCTGGGGGGAGAGAGGCCAGGAGATGCCATGCTGCCAAAGGAGTAATACGCCAGATTAGGGGTAAACCACATCCTTGTGGCAATACATAGATTAATATAAATGAGTTAATAATTAAGACAGAGCTAGCTAATAAGAAGCCTGCGCCATTGGTCAATAGTTTTATAATTAATATAGCGTCCTTGTGTTTATTTGGGGCTAAGTGGCTGTGGGACCAGGCAGGACAGAAACTTCCATTATCAAATGGCAACCAACGTTGGTCATGAACCCACGACCCTGAGATTAAGAGTCTAATGCTTGGGCTGGAGAGATGGCTCAGAGGTTAAGAGCACTGGCTGGTCTTCCAGAGGGCCTGAGTTCAATTCCCAGCAACCACATGGTGGTTCACAACCATCTATAATGAGATCTGGTGCCCTCTTCTGGCCTGCAGGCATACATGTAGGCAGAACACTGTATACATGATAAATAAATAAATCTTTAAAAAAAAAAAAAAAAAGAGTCTCATGCTCTACCAACTGAGCTATGGGACAGAAACCTCCATCATCACACTCAGTTCTACTCTGACTCTGACACTATTTCCCAGAGGAACTGGCACCCAAAGCTGGAGCCAGGCTTCCATGCCTTGCTCAACACATCATCATACCTTCCCAACTCTCCCTGAAATCATCAAGGTGGGGCTGGGGAGATATATCAGTCTGTAAAGTGCTTTCTGTAAGGAGCCAAGGACCCGAATTCAACCCCAGAACACAAGTAAGAAAAGCTAGGTGTGTTAGCACAATTGTAAAGTCCCAGCACTTGGGATTGCTGGGACTCTGGGGCTGGCTCACTGGCTGGCCAGCCTAGCCCACTTGGTGAGTTCCAGACCAGTAAGAAACCATGTCTCCAAACAAGGCAGATGGTGCTTAAGGAATCCCCATGTGAGACTGACCTCTGTGTTCGTTTGGCATGCACATGAGCAAATACACAAATTGCTAATGTGCACAGATAGTATATGTAGTCCTAAATACTATGGAGGCAGTGAGGGACCAGAGTGGAATCTCAAGACCAACCTTGGACAAGAGAGCAGAGGAATCAGGACAGCTCTCCAGCCAAGGCTAGGTTGGGCGGAAAGCAGAGCCCAAGGGAGGCATGGCTCACTAAGCACTGCTCACCTTAGGACAGTAGGAGGCTACAGGACCAGGTGGCTGCCTGTTGCCCTGCATTTGGAAGACATGTGGTGGGCAGTTTGGCTCTGTGGGGCAGAGCCAAATGCTGCATTAATGGAAGACATTTTTCATAGCCCCAGCAATCAGCGTGGACTTGTCACTGAGAATGAATCTATACTCACACCTTTTAAAGGTCCAAGAGTCACTTGTGGCCCAAGAGCAGGGCAGATCCAGGTACCAATGTCTACTCCAACACATAGTTCCTTCCCCAGGACAATGATTACATATAACATCTTAGTGTTGACTCTCTCTGTCCCACAGAAGCCTGCAGTGGGCTGTCAGTAGACATCTTTGGAGTAAGAACATCATTAACCACCTTGCCTGCATCTATTGGGACATAATACTGGTTCTTGGGCAACATGCTAAAGTGCTGTGGCCAGGGTTCCTCCAATGTCAGATTCTTGCTTGCAATGCTAGGAAGTAACATGCTGGAGCTCATGTTAGGGGTGCTGGAAGGCTACCTGTCAGGGCTCATGTTCAGGGTGCTGGGCTTGCTGGTGACTGATCTGGTTTTCAGGGGAGACACACCTATAATCTCCCCACTGACCCTGTGCTGTTTTAACTGCCACTCTGGCTAGCTGGCTGCAGCTTCCAAGTCTCTAGGACCCCAGCTTTTCAAACTCTGTTTTTCTCTGTGGAGATATTTTGTTCTGCTATAACAAATAAAGCTTGCTTAAAGATCAGAGTCCAGAGCTATAGAGACCAGGAAATGGTGATGGACACCTTTAATCCTAGCACTCAGGAGACAGAGGCAGATGGAACTCTGTGAGTTCAAAGCCACCATGGGCTACACGAGATTGAATCTGTTTAAAAGAGAAACAGAGCTCACACAAAGGTGATCCCAGCACTCGGGATCTTACCCCTTTAATCCCAGCATTAGGGAAGTGGAGACAGGAAGTGATATGGCTGGGTGGAGAGAGGAATATAAGGCAGAGGAGACAGGGGCAGAGAGGCAGTTTGAGGATTTGCAGAGACCGATACAGTCAGGAGCAGTCAGTCTGAGGACAGGATCGCCCCTTTGGTCTGAGCATTAGTAGCGGTAAGAACTCTCTAGTGACTGGCCACTCTGCTTCTCTGATCCTCCAGCTTTCATCCTGATAGCTGACTCTGAGTTTTTATCATTAAGAACAATTAAAATCCATGCTTCATTTCTCACTGGGTTAATCCTGTTTGTTCTCCATGAGGAGTTTTCCTAGAAGCCCTTAGCATGCGTCCCAACAATGCCAAACTTGAGAGCTGAAGAGGCAGCCTCTGCGGCACTGTTTCAACATACAGGGTGGGTGTGTGAGCTAGGGAGGAAGCCCCTTGCATCGGTGTGCTGCATAGGAGAGGGGAGCAGACAGTCCTCTGCAGTGCAGTGTGTGGGGGTGCATGAAGTCGGGGAGGCAGCTTGCTGTGGTGTTGTACAGCACACTGGGGAGGGTCGAGAGGCCTCAAGTGTCGGGATTAGCTTCCTCTGTACTCTGCCTCTATCTTCACCCAGTGCTGGATTTCTTGCTTTTGTCTGTATCCCAGGGAGCAGGGAACCCTCCCCCAGGTAAGCAAGGCAGGACTGATGGGTGACGGGGGGGGGGGGGGCGCTC